GCAGTGGTTTACATTCATGGCCATGCAGCTTTAAATTGATTTTACAATGAAATTGTAACACCAAAATTGGTCCACAATGTGTCAAAACTGAACCAGGCTGTTGTTAAGCAGTCGTAAACAAACTGAGGAAATAAAAAGAAAAACTGCATCATACTACTGAAGATGACAAAAGTATGCCTTTACAATTACAAGACATCTGCAAAATACAAAGACATTTCTGTTGCTCATAACTTTCGAAATGAAAAAGTGCAAACATTGTACAAGTATAAATCATTCTAGTGTGTGTGTGTGTGTCTAACCAAAACAATCTCACGGCAATTCGTAACTTTATTAATTTAGTGGCTAACTTATTTAAATTTGTCGATCTCATTTAGTAAGATTTGCTCATCCCCCAGTGATGGTTGGGTTTAGAGATGGGGTTGGGTGCCATGCTTCCTTTTTAAAATCTTACATTTTCATATGACTGAACTTGTAGGACGTTGTATGAATTAGCCACTAAACTGACAAAATTTAAAATAGTTACGTTTCCTCGTGAGATCAGACTGGTCTAACATGTACATCAAAATCCAAAGTACACTTTGAGCTTTAGCGTGGCCTGTCACTATTCCTTAGGGTCACAGTTCTCATAAAAAAGCTGAAACTTCTTGTCCACAAAGGTGTTCCTCTTCAAGAAATCTTCCAGCTGCTGCACGGACATCTCTATGACCTCCGGTGCTTCTTTCTCATTGAGGCCATGGGATGCGTAGGCTGGGAATTTTGATCGCTCGTCAAATGGGGCATTATGATCATAGTCGACACAGCAGTACGCTGACCACAGGTAAGTAGGAACGGCCACTCGGTTGATGTTGTACCTACGGATCATCCTGCCGGACGTGGTGACCCCTGTGACTATGTAGGCTGTACCGCGGCAGTAGTTGTTGAGTCGCCGGCGGATGATGTGCTCATGTCGTTTCCAGTGGCCGATGTTGAACTCACGAACCTGTGGGACTACATTGGTGAGAGTGTATGTGGCCGCCTTGTCATCGGGATGAGCCTGGTGCTCGTCGGGGTTCAGATGACCTCGCTCGAATTCGACAATATTTGAATAGTCCTCCAAAACAGCCTGGGTGTCTGAAAAACTGCCGTGGACATTTGGAGGGAAAGCCTGCATTTCACCAGAGTCCGATGTTGTAGAGAGCTGAAGTAATGAAGAAAAACATTATTGTTAAAACGTATGCCTAAAACAAATAACAATGTTTTATTTTAAATTATCATATACATAGTATATAAAATGGTATCTAAATATTATGTAAGTATATTCACACCAAACACGGATGTAAATATTCGCATGAATAGATTGCATACAAAGCCAATGGTGCAAATGGTGCTAAAGGCTAATGTATACTACTGCGTCAAGCGGTTGGAACGTTCGCATAGCTCTCGCCATGGCCGATGCTGATGCTCACCTCTCAAAAAATGTAGCACTTCGCAACGACGTATAGTACAAGCTCTGTGATTGGTTGGCTTGGTATCGCTTACGAGCATGGGCGCTGCTGAGAGCTGAGGCCGATGGAGCGTTTGTTTACAAGTGTCGAGTCTCGTGAAAAAGATCGAGATGGAAACTTTTGTTTCGTGTTCACTTTATAATTAAAGTTGTTGCATGTCTGCTGGTTCCCGTCTAAATAGTTTTAGCTTTTAGTAGTATTCAGAAAAAACAAAACACCTATGAAGAGACTCGAAAAAGAGGAACATAAAAACCTACTGACAGCTAGCGCTTCAGAAGTGTTATTGCAGAGCAACACAAATAGTGTGCAGTAGTATAAATGCACGACTATGCCTTGGGTCAAGTCGATCACTTCACACAGAAGTATAAATCTGCCTAAACTGCGTGACATGCATGCTGTGATCAAGCAATAATCTCCTCAGGTCTGTTTTCTGTGATAGTTTAAAAAGAAATGACAAGCAGAAAACTTGCATGAGGTGAAAAACCTTGTGAGTAATCTAAAGAAAGTGATGCAATGCATATGTTCACTTGTGCTTTTTGTGTGAATTCAGCATAAAACTGGTTAATATGGTATTAACTGGTTTAAACTAGTCTCAGAGCATAACTAGTATGGGACTAGGATTCAAGTGGATAAGCAGTTTGGTTGTATAGCAAAAAGGGCCCAAATCATATCTAAAACAAGCCAACAGGTTGAGCCTAAGACACCATTTACACTTCGTTTTAAAATGTTTTGTTGCAGTGACACATGGGGTCCTCATTACTCCAGCATCTTTGACCTGTGAAAATGAAGCATTTTGAAAAGACTGAACTTTGTTTTAGTTTGAAAACACCAGTGTTGCATTTCAGTTCAGAGAGACTAAAACACAAACTTGCGTAAATACTACTGCATATCTTTCCTTGATCTGTCAAGGCCCTCTCATATGGCAATACCACCAGTAGACCACAAGTAGCCTACAGATACTAAAAAGATATGCACTTGCCCAGTGAGTGTGAGTGTTGACTTTCATGCATTTTACGCTGCATAATGTGGACGGAGATTGTTAACACAGAACAAACAAGTCCTGTTTTAAACAAGTGAAATTTGGTCGAAGTTGGTTTAAACTGGTTAATACAGTATTGATAAGATGGTGTTCAGCTGTTTTAACTCTTCAGCAGTCAGGAAAGAAAGTCAAGAAAACCAGTCATCAGAACTACCTAGGACATAGGGCAGATAGTTTTAGATACATGGTAATATTAAAAAAAAATGCCTAAAATCAACCGAACAGCTTTGGAAGCTTATTTTAGAGGATTAGCTACTGTGTGCGACAGATAAGTGTTTTGACCAGGGAAGTTGTGAAAAAACAAACAATATTTTATACTGAAGTTATGAAAACTTTTCAAATGTATCTACATTACAAAATTGTTGATTGAATTGTTTAACAGTTTGACAAAGCTTGACAACTCGACTGCTGGTTACCTGCGGCTCGAACATCCAGGGAACATCGACCTTCTTGGAGCCGTCGGAGCGTTTGAAGGTGTAGGCGGAATAAACCGGAATGTGATCCACCACATCATACAGAGTGACATACCGGGGCTTGCCGTTATAACGCTGACAGATCTTTTTAAGGTAGTGGTTCTCCAGACCCCGCGGCGGGGTGCCCATATACATGAATTTACGGCATTCTTCTGAAAAATCTTTCTGCACTTCAGAGCGCACGTTCACGAGCGGAAAGCAGAAAAACACCAACAAAACAGCCCGGGGGTCCATTCGGCTTAAATAAAACACAGCTCCGCTTGAGAAACTCCTCTGAATAACTTTTTATAAGTGTTCCTGTGTGCTCATTTTCCATACTGCAATGATAGTCAAATAACTGCTCGCTGCTCACCTGATACAGCACTCGTGCAGTTGTACAGTTTCACCAGCGCGTGGTGCTGTTTTACAAAGACTGCGGCTGATCATTGCATCTGAAAAAATAGTGCTGGGTGTTTCCCAGTGATGGGTTCCAGCTGGGAGGGCATCTGCTACGTAAACATATGATGGATAAGTTGGCAGTTCATTCTGCTGTGGCGACCCCAGATTAATAAAGGGATTAAGCCGAAAAGAAAATAAATGAACGGAAAAGTGAATCTGTGGAATTTGTATTTGACAAATTTCAAGTTCGTAAAAAAGTATTCATTGGGGTAGATTTTTATGATTGATATTTATATATGGAATGTCTTCAATCTATTTATAGCACAAAATAAAGAATCAAGATACTGCTATTATTGCTAAAAGTTATTAAAATCTGAACTTGATGAAGGATGTATGTCTTATACCGACATTTTTGTTATATCCACATTGTTGCTAAACTGTTTTGTATTAGCTGGCAATATGTGAAATGTATATTGCAAACTTGAATTTGCATTGTATTATAATTCAATGTCTTGTTAGAATTGTACATTTGTTGATGTTGTTTCTAATAAAAACTACGTAAATTAAAAGTCATTAGTTCATTTTTTATTAATATATTTATTAAGGAATTATCTGTTTCTGTACTTATATTAAATAACCACTGTGACAGTGTGTTATAGTAACATTTTGTTATAAGAACATTTTGTCCTGGGTGTCAGTTCAGTAATTTCACTTTAAAGCCAATGAAAAGAACCTGTTGATCAGGATAAAAGTGAAATGACAGAACCTACATGCGGGAGCCTGAGAAAAAGTGTTTAATGTTTAGAATTCAGAGTGCACTAATTCAGAATCTGAACTCCTCATACAAATATAAAATAAGTTATATGTCATTACATTTGATACCTTTGCATAAAAAATCCTATTGTAAGAATAAAAAAAATGTAAACAGCTTGAAATATACAAAAAAATATTTTCATTCATTTTCTTTTTGGCTTAGTCCCTTTATTAATCAGGGATCACCACAGCAGAAGGAACCACCAACTTATCCAGCACATGTTTTACACAGCGAATGCCTTTTCAGCTGCAACCCAGTACTGGAAAACATCCATACACACTCATTCACACACACACATACACTATGGCCAATCTAGTTTATTCAATTAACCTTTAGCGCATGTCTTTGGACTGTGGGGGAAACCGGAGCACCTGAAAGAAACACACGGCAACACAACTGAACTCGTAATATGAATATAAAATAAGTGAAGTTATTTACTTTTGATACATTTGCATAAAAACATATTGTAAAAACTACAAACTAAAAAGAAACAACTTGCAAGTTACAAAAACATAATACTACATAATTTAATATATGTTTTCCAAAATATTACTTCCAAATGCTGGCATGAATGAAATATTACCACTACTATTACTACTACTACTACTAATAATAAAAATAGTAATGGCACCATTTGTGCTATACAAAAACCTAACAAAAACATCTTTTTTTTTTTTGTTTTACCTCAAAGCAGATGTAGTTCCTGTGTTATCCGCCACTAGTGGATGGCGGTAATGCGCTCTTTAGGCTTTCGTTCTTTCGTCAAACAAACAGCAGAAAAAAGAGCTCCACAGTTCATTGGATGTATTCCTCACGTGTCTAACGTCCAACAGCCATTTTTGTAAAACACAAACAACAAGACGACCGAGCGAGACAGAAAAAAACTCATTGCGACCGTTGCAGATACGGCAAAGAATAGAAAATAGATATATGTACAATTGAGCTTCGAAACTCACACGAGACGAGTGTTGAAAACAGAGACTCAGCAGTTCAAACCGTCGGTTCATGCGAAGCGAAAAGAGGAGTGAGCTCTTTAAGGAAGATTCAACTCTGGAGAAAACAGTGGCTGGCTAGTTTTAGCCTAGCTGGCCAGCAGGCTCGCAGAAGAGGTGCGTGATATGTTATTTTCTACATTTTGGTGGACAGCGTGCTGTGTGCATTGGTTGATAATCAGCGTTATAGTTGTATTCACACACTTATGTCGTATGAAGTTATTGCACGGTTTATCAGATGGTTGAAGGGCTTGTATTGCACCACTGAAGGCCTTAGTAAAGCGCAAGGGCGCAGCACAAGCATATCTGAAACGTTACTGCTGTTTTCCTGCTCTTGGTCTCATTAAAACGTCTCAGACTTGTTTTGCTGTTCATAATTAGATTACCGTGTAACCTTTATTAGCCTGTCAGTCACAGGCGTGTTGCGTGTTTGTGTTGCATAATAGCGGCGAGTGTTGCTCACGTTGAGCTGAGCTGCTGCTGCTGCTGCTTGTGGAGTTGTGATTGTAGTTGGGGAAAGTTTTCGCTGAATGTTATCTCCAACGTGTTTCGTTATCTTGACTGTTGTTTTGGCGATTAGGATATGTTGCTTAACGAATACATGCTCGCTGATTAAATTTGCTCATCTGGTTTTGAAGGATGTTAGTTGTTTTTATGGAGCTATCAGACCTTTTTGTATTAACGCGTATTGTTTCAGTTCAGTGGTCAGTCGCAAGTAAATGCACTTAACGATGATCTTCACACACACACACACACACACACACACAAACACACACACACACACACACACAATGGAGCTGAAAGTGTTGTATGTTACCATATTTTTTGTTTACCCTTTACATGTTTCAAAGATTTGAGGTTTTTTTTATTAAACGCAAAATAAGATATTTTGTGGAAAGCTGAAAACCCTGTAAACAATGACTTGCACAGTAACGTTATTAGTTTTTTAACTATGGAAATTAGTAGTTACAGGTTTTTGTTTTTTCTTTCAAAATATCTTTTGTGCAAAACAGAAGGAAAATAACTCAAAGATTTGAATACATGTGAGAGTGAGTAAAAAAGCTAGTAATTTGTTTTTTGGGGTTAACTATCCCTTTAAGGAGGAAAACATTGTTTATTTACCATTCATGCTAGCTATAAACATCAGTGATCATTTTTAAAAATGTTAAATAGTTTTGTTAAAAGTAAAATGAAAAGGTGTTTGTTTGCTTGTCAGTAAGGTATTCAATTGTTACTTTGTTTGGAACTTAGATGTCTTTTAGTGAGATAAGAAATGTGTGCTCAGTTAGCAGAGGAAAAACCTGAGGTTAAATGGATTAGGTAGTTAAAATACAGTTTTTTAAAATTGTTTTATTTGTATTGTTTAGTTAACCAGAATTATTATGATTTTGTTTTTTGTTATTCATTTATAGGCATGGGTCGGTTTAAGTTTCTAATGGTATGATAACCTTAGATAAAAAGATCACGATTTCACTGTACTTCGATTACTACTGTATATGCTCTTTCTAATGTCTGGCTAAAAAACAAAAACCCTTTTCCCCTTTGAACACAGTATTTTTTTATTTTGAGAGACATTTATAGTATTTTGAAGCCGTAAACATGTCAGGCTAAATAAATCAAATAAATCATTGACTTCTGCTGTCTTCATTTGTTTTAAAAACACAGATTTTTTTTACTATTTAAAACAGCATCTTTGGATATATTTTCTGTTTGAGATACTGCTGTCCTAAAAAGCTAAAAAAAAAAAAAAACATAAATAAAAAATCAAATATAGGAACGGTATAGCAGAAAATTTTGGCAGTTTTAAAACTTTGACTTTTCCAAACCGCATCAAACCTTGAAACTGATTATTGTCCAATGCCTTTTCATTTTTGTCTGTTTACTTTAAAAGTCATGTGATCAATGTTTTATTTATTTCGTAAACAGTACTAATGGTTTAATTGAAATAAAATTAATTTAAATTAATCATGAATACTAGATGGGAAAAGTACAGATGTTGTCTTCAAAATGAAAAGTTGAAATGCTCTAGTTGCTTAAAATTAAAATAAGATAGAAGAATTGCGTGAAGTACTCTGTTGGAATATAAATAAGACAAAAATAGCACTGTATACTGTGTAATTTTAGTCTGTGTATTTTATGGACAAAACCGTGAGAGAAAGCAGTGAGTGTTTATAATAAATATATTCATCCTGTCTCTCCATTATAATGAGGCCATAAATGCTGCATGTTTAACCATTATGATTAAAGCTGAAATGTCTTCTTTTTAAGTGTGCATGTACTGTCCATGCATTTATATTTTGCCCTCTTTTCCTCTTTGCAGGTGTGGGCAGTTGGGAGCTGAAGGCTTGCATATGTAAAAATAATACACAGGAATTCAGAGTAAAGATAAAAGATCAAAAATTGAGAGAAGAGTTACCCAGCAATAGTTACGGCATTACAAACTGCCCAGAAAGATTATTTCCAACAGTGATCGCTGTTATTTATGCTGCCACAAATTCTTAATCATAGTGTATTTTGTCTCTTTTCTCTAAGAAGTTTTGAACTTGCTAAGAGTCTTTTTTTTCCCTGTTTTTTTTTTTTTAAGATCTGACGTTACAGGCACATTAAGGTGGTGTGCCATCTTTTGGAGCTCTTATATCTGGCTAGATATTCATCAGCCTTTATCTCCCTAAAACTGGCAGCTATTTCAATATTCATAGAGAGTTTAGATTTACCAAGTCCACCTCAGCACACAAAGAACCACCGTACAGGTTCTGACAGAACCACCTCATTCCTGTTCCCCGTTCAGCCTGGTCCTTTACAGTCCTGTTCTTTGGACAAGGTAAGCACTCCTCCACCCCAAAACCTGTTGTATTGTTTTTAATTGAGAACAATGCTTCACATTACTGTATGTGTATGTTGGCACTTTGCAGAAACTTTGAGCCCTCTGGACACACAGAATATGACTGCTGAGACACTTAACTTCGGTCCAGAATGGTAATATAATTGTTTTAAGTATTAGACAGACTTCAAATTAACGATGCAAGGTCTGCATCCATGATTTAAATAAATAGTTTTTTTAGCCAATTATTGTTTGTAGTAATACTTAAGGGCAAAAATAGCTCGTTTTTTGCTTGGGGTTAAAAACAAGTCTGAAAAATAGCTGAACAGCACTATACTGTTAATCGATGTCTAGATCAGAGGTGCCCAAACCTGGTCCCAGCGGGCCAGTGTCCTGCAGCGTTTAGCTCTAACTCTAATGAAACACACCTCAGCCACTAAATTAAGCTCTTACTAGACTTGGTAGAAATGTCCTGGCAGGTGTGTTGAGGCAAGTTGGAGCTAAACTCGGAGGGACACTAGCCCTCCATGACCGAGTTTGGGAACACATTGTGTAGATGCTGTCCACACTGCTTTAAATGAATATGTAAAAACGGCTGCATGTTTATCTAGGAATAATTGACAGTGGGCCATTCTTTTTTCTTGGACTAATTTAGTGTTGTCATAATAATGTAATTTCGGTACCAGTCATTACTGAGATTTTGAAAACATCCATTTCCTGCTAACATTTAAGTGCTGCTGAGCTCGTTCTTAAAGTGCTGATTTGCCATAATGTTCACATGCTCAACAGAAATGCCTGTGTTTGGCTGTGAAGTTCATCAGTCCACCACTGATTACTGAATGCAAACACAGATACATGCCACTAAAGCATTTCAAAATTTCAAAATGTTAATCAAAATCATCTGGTCTGTTTATGAGCGATTCAATGATGAATCAGCTGATCTTTGCAGCTTTAAAATGCTCCAGTGGCGTGTATCTCTGTTTGCACTTGGTAAAAATGTTAATTGGTTAGTTAGTTAGTTTTGTTTATATAGCACATTTTTTACAACACAACATTGCCCAAAGGGCTAAACACAATCCATACTAATTAAAATAAGTCCTACAATACATAGATAACAATTAAAGCATAAGACAAACCCCTCAACATTAAAAAGGCTAAAATACTAAAAAGCAAAATTGCAGTTTCAGAAGGTTTTTAAAGACAGAAAGTTGAAGCGTGTCTAATGTGGGGTGGAAGCTTGTTCCAGAGTTTTTGGACGATAACAGCAAAAGCCTGATCCTCACTTTGCTTACACCAGGACCTTGGTACAGAAAGAATAAACTGATCAGAAGACCCTAGTTACCTTCCAGGATTATATACATGTAGAAGATCTGATAAGAAAGGTGGTGCTAGAGCATTTAAGGATTTATAAACAAAAATTAATCATCTAAAATCAATCCAAGACCTAACAGGCTGCTAGCCCAGAAAGGAAATAACTGGGAATATGTGCTCATGCTTGCCCTGTTGAAGCCTCTACAGTTACAGCCACAAGTAACAGTCACATTTTTGACTAATTGCAATTTATTCAGGGCATTTTGACTGATACCCACATATAAAGAGTTACAATAGTCAAGTCTTCCCAAAATAAAACCTTCTCAAGGTCATTAAAAGAGAGAAATTACTTCTTTTGCCACTAGTCGTAAATGAAAAAAAGGGATTTAACAACTGGATTTACTTGTTTGTTAAATTAAGAATGTTAAGTTAAGAACATTCTTAACCGCACTTAAATGTTTGCGGGAAATTGACATTTTTTAAAGTACCGAAATTCAGTATCATGGCAGCACTAGTCTGCTATCTAACTAATGCAAGCACAGCTAAAATAAAAAAGGAGGCTTTGTTATGGAACAAAATCAATGTCAAAAGTCTTGAATTAAGATCTTCAATCTGCAATGCTCTGAGGATGCTAAAGATTGCAGAACAACGTCTGTCGCTGGATCCGAGAAGTGAGATTTACGCGATCACCAGCTGGCTTCCGTTACATAAGGGCAAATATAGATGACTAAAACCTCATTTAATCATTTTACTCATACTTTTTATTATTTACAATGTCCAAGGCATTGATATTAATATTAAATTCTACTTTTGTGCCTTTATTAGCTTTTTTCCTTGCCTGTTTACTGGGTTAAAAATCTTACATTATTCCATCTCCACCTGCTGGTGAAAGCTAGAGCTGCTGGCGATCTTCAATCTGCAATCTATTGCTTCTCCTGCAGTTCTCGGATGTAATGATGAATTTTAACAGTCGAATTTGAACCACTGAATTTATGGAAGCGAATATTTAAACTGAAATAAAATGAACTGAAAATTACCTTTTGAATATTATACATCGTATTTTTAAAGGGTATTGAATATTTTGTAAGTGAAATCTGAAAATTGAATATGAATTATTGAAGTTTTAAGTATGAAAAAGTGTTTGAAATATTTTTCATTGAAATATTCACAGCTTAAATAAACAGATATGTTAAATTTCAGGACCTAAAAATACAAACCCTGGAATTCAAGTCATTAAAATGCAAGAACTTGTTAATACGGTGTATTATTTTTTTCAGTTTGTGCTATTCAACAAGCTTTTTAATTCAAGACTTTTGGCATTGATTTTGTTCCATACTTTGTAATATGAAGTTTTTGTTTTAGATCCTTATTTCCCTCCCATTGGTATTCTGACATTTAGTGTGCTGTAAAACATATGAACTGCTACATTCTGTTGCGGGTGAAGCTTTTTCCTCTCTCACTTCCTTATAAGTGTTGACAGGAGGAAACAGATGTTTCCCCTTTCTATGTAGTTTATGATTTTTTTTTTTCATTATTATTTATTACAAAAAGTTCTAGATCTCCTCGTGTTCTCAGCATATACACAGTCTTGAAACCTTTATGTTAATGTTTTTAATGGGCAAATGCTCTTACCTCAGGCTCCGTGCACTATCCAGAGGGGCGAGTGTGACGTCCCCTCCCCCTTCCCCTGCAATGCCAAAGTCCAAGTTGGCCGACTACCGTTATGGCCGCGAGGAGATGTTAGCACTTTATGTCAAAGATAACAAGGTGAGAGATTCACAGCACCTGCAGTAAATGTCAAATTCTTGGCCATGGCCGTCCTGTTATCTGTGTAACTGAAGGGGCACATCATTACAATAGTTCAAAAACAACATTTTTATCCATCAAATGCTTGATAGATAAATACAATAATTTTGTTTGTGTTGTTTAGATCCCTGAAGACATGCAGGATAAGGAGTTTGCTGCTATCCTGCAGGACGAGCCTCAGCAGCCACTGGCCTTGGTGCCTCTGACTGAGGAGGAGCAGGTGAGTCCTTGCTTCTCTGTCTGCATTTATGTATATAGGCCTGTGTGATATTAACAGAAGTTTTATTTTTTTCAATAATTAATCAATGTGCTCAATGTGTATTTGTGCTGCTACCTTAGCTGGTTTAAGCATGTATTTCACGAGTAAATATGGCATTAAATCTATAAGTAGGTGGTGGCAACTCCTAATATTAATAGGTGATAAAAGGATTCAATCAAAGGATTTGTTCCTTTAGAGATGTGCCGGTCGTTGTATATAATTTATGATTCAAATGTTTATTAATCAGCGGCTTTGCGTTAATTGGTGTTATGATATTCAGACTGACAAACATGTCTGGGATTTTGCTATTCAACACAGCTAAACATTTTTAAACAGAATCCATTGAGACTCTTTATAGCAGCGCATAAAAACCACTGCCTGTTTGCAGTATATATACGTGTTCTTAAGATGCAAGTAAACATATGCATATATACATAGACATATTCTAGTCTGCATTTGAAGTGTATCAAAAGCTTTCATAAAAGTTGTCCTTAAAATATTCTACAGCCATTCTTGCCTTATGACAATTTTGAAATGTTCTTGATTCACTTCAAAAGTGTATCATTTTATATTATGCTTTATTGTTTATTTTGTGGTGCCACAAAATACATAGTTTATGGCAGGGGTGTCCAAACTCTGTCCTGGAAGGTTGGTGTCCTGCTGAGTTTAGCTCCAACACACTTGCCAGGAAATTTCTAGTATATCTAGTAAGAGCTTGATTAGCTGGTTTAGGTGTGTTTGATTAGGGTTGGAGCTAAACTCTCCACGACACCAGCCCTCCAGGACCAAGTTTGGACACCCCGAGTTTATAATATTACCTTTTTCATAATTTATATGGATTAATGAATTTTTTATTATAAATTAAGCAATACTACATGCCATTTATGGGGATGCAAACCGAAACAATAATTACAACATCATAAAAAAGTTGCCATCTTGTAAGTTAAGTGTTTACACTTTGCATTTTATTTGGCCATATTTTTTAGTGAACCTGTAATAATTGGTTTTTGAAAGGTGTTTCATATTTAATAGTATTTACTTTATATCTTAATCAACCATTTGGCCAGAAAATTTTAAATAAAGTGAAACATATGATTACATATGAATGAATAAATTTGTGAATATATATATATATACTTTAAAATGTAATAAAGTAAATATTACATGTCCTTTATATGTAATCAATATAAATATAATCTATAAATGAGATGGAACTATATCATGATATAAATTGTTATCAGGATGTGAGATGATGTATATTGTGATATCAGATTGTTGTCATATCGCTCAGCCGTACCTCCTTGGCATGCAAAATAACTGAGCTATAATTCAGTACTGAAACCAAAAGATTTGTAATATTTGAGTAAAGGCTTGGTACGGAATGGTCTGTATTTTTCACAACACTATTTTGAATAATATGAGTTATTTATGTAAATAAATAATTAGTCCTCTTCTTCATTTAATTTCCTTCTCCTTTTAGAGAAACTTCTCCATGTCTGTGAACAGTGTGGCTGTGCTAAGGCTTATGGGTAAAGGAGGTGGAGCTGTGCCAACAGGTGTAGCTAGAGGTCGTGGAAGCACTCGAGGAGGTCGAGGTGGGTTTGTACCATTGGCGGCATGATTTGGGATCAGAGTTATGTGGTTTAAAATGGTCTCAGTCGCATTTGATGATGTTAGTCAAGAAAATAGTATATCAAACAAAACTCTTTTGTTTGTCTGCAGGGAGAGGCAGAGGAGAGGGCGGATTCTACCAAAGAAGTGTGGATGAAGAGGTCGGCTTTGGCCGAGGACGAGAGATGCATCGCAGCCAGAGCTGGGATGACAGGTGCTTTTTGTAGCTTGTAGTACACCACCTGACAAAAGTTTAGTCGTCAATCCCAGTTGTAGGAGCAAAAAATAAAAACTTGACGTCTAGTTGATCATTTAGAAAAGTGGCAGAATTACAAATTAAGACCTTTTCAAAACAAATACTTGTGTATATATATTGTAAATATCCCATTCAACATGACTAATGAGCACATGACTATGGAATTCTCACAGAAGGATTTAATTCAAACGCATGAATAAATGTATGATTAGAATTATGAATAAAAGCATATTAGTAACTTCAGTTTTAGCAGAAACTAAGAGCCATAGTTCACAGAAAAGCTACACAAAACATTGTTATTATGGCAGAAAGATTTTCTTCACTCCAATTATGAGGGCATTAAATTGTCAGCAATAATAAGCACAGCTTGTCAGTGCAGTACGACTAAACGCTGCTCCATCTGAAAGCCCTTGCTGGAGATTTACTACTGATTAAACAACCAGCTTTACTGACAAAAGGCGCATTTCAATGAACCAGCCAGCCACCAGTGTGTGGTGTTCTTATGCGCTCTTGTACTTTCCTTAGTGTGATATTTGCTGTTTCAGAGGTGAGCGGCGCTTTGAGAAGCCCTTGAGGCGTGAGGTTGGCCGTGGTGGATTTGAGGATAGTGGAGCAGTAGCAAGGAAGGACTATGCACGTTCTGACAGTGATAACTGGCGAACTCTCCGAGAAGAGCAGGAGGAAGAGGAGGCGGCAGCAGAACCTGGAGGAAGCTGGAGGATTGCAGGAGGTCGTCGTGATGGTACTTACTTAGTCACATGTTTTATTATTATTATTATTATTTATTTATTTAAAATAACAGAAACAAAAATTTTATCTAGATGGGGGTCCTCGTTCAGCTGGTTGGCGGGAACACATCAGTGGGGAAGGCCGTCGGAGAAAGTTTGACTTTGATTTTCGTGATGGAGAAGGTGGACGGAGGAGAGCGGGAAGTGAGGGAGGAGAGGAAGAACGAGATGGCCTGCCTGAGTGGTGCACTGATGAAGAAGAAGGCGAGATGGGAACCTTTGATTCTTCTGGAGCCTTCATGTGCATCAAGGTTTGTTTGTTTCAGTTTCTCGTATTTGGTGGAATCAAATCTAATATGCCTTTTTGCTTATGACTACTTAAAGCAGTGGTCTCAAACTCGACTCCTGGTGGGCCGCAGCTTGCATAGTTTAGGGCCAACCACCTCCAACCACACCTGCTTAATCTCCAGCGGTCTTAGGCCCCCGTTTACACTCATGCGTTTTTGTTTTAAAACGCACAAGTTTTGCTACGGTTACGCCTTCCGTTCACACTACGTCGGAGTTCTCGAATGCCGATAACGGAGCGTTTTGAAAACGCTGGAGAGGCTGTTTTTATTCTAAAACGCTTCTGCACCGTCTCAGTGTGGATGACGAAAAACGGAGACATCTGAAAACGGAGGCAGGACTGCTGAGATTCGCTACCTGATTGTGGCTTTTGTGTCATTATTCGTCAAGCCCCTACCACATGACTATAACACATGGCTTCAACGCTACCGGAAGACAGTACTGTAAACAACAACAAGGGCACAGAAAAGGGAGCGTTGTTTGCACTATTGTCTGTTTTAGGCGCCATTGTGCAGTTATTCATTTGTTACGTTTAGTAACAACTCGACCTCGTCGTCTGTCCACAAAAATACCTCTCTTGCTTTCTTTGTTTGCGTTCATTGTTCAACCGGCGTTTGTTGACTAACAATAACCAAATGCAGAGCGAGACGCATGCTTCCTGTTTATACTAGAACGCGCATGCCCAGAGTGAAACATAAAACATGTTATATTTTGAAGAATGTTGGATACTGGTTACCAGTGGCTTCCTTTTTTTTTACATTTGCCAGCATACTTCACAATATCTCATTTTGTGCTCAACATTTAAGTTCCAGTTAAATACTATAAAATAAATGTGGTTTGTGCAACCCTTCAGAAAAACTCCAGAGATGCAATCCTTGAAGACCAGGAACTGGAATTTGAGGCTCTGGAGGAGGAAGAGGAGTGTTGTCAGGAAAAGAAAGACAGCCCTGCTGATAAATGTAAGAAGTCCATTTCAACTTGCATGATATGATTCTGTATTTTGTGTTTTTAACAACAACTGGCTGTTTTTTTTACTTTTTTACTACTTTATAAACGTGTCTCTTTTCATTTGAACTGTTTTTCAGTGGAAGAGTGTGAAGCAGCCACTGTGTATGATGGTGACAGGAAGTCATTATCATCGTCTCCTCATGCTGTGTCTGTGCCTGCCGCTGTACTCCCTTCAGAACAAGAAACCCCCAAACCCATAATCGTTCCTCCCCCAAAACCTGCTCCCCAGCCAGCTGAAGGTACTATTTCTTTTCTCTTGCTTAATTTTTCATTTATTGTTTTGACAATGCAAAACATTGTGCATTAAGGCCTCATTTACACTAATACGTTTTAGTTTTAAAACGGCGTTTAGACTGAAAAAACGATCCACGTCCACACTGTCATTTCACCTAGTGTTTCTGAACAGATCTCCATCAACACTACACAGCTGAAAATGCACATCACGTGACCACACACATACACACTCGGGTGGTTTGAGCAAAGAAACCCCGGTTAGAGCTTTGCATGTCGAACAATTCATCAAGTTCTCAATTAATGTGTTTTGGCTGAGCGCAAAGATAAGTTAATATTTTAGTTTATGTAAGCACATACACTGATTCTGCACATTATACTTTTATAATGGCCATTATTCATTTTTAAAATGGATATTCAGCAAAAGAGAGAATACGTTTAATATTTTTCAATGAAAATGAAAGAAGGTAGTTATGTTATAGGCTCCATTTTGTTATAAATATGCATTCAGTGAAGATGATGGTCATAGAAACATGTAGCTACACGAGGCCTTAACATTTTTAGTGTCTGTTAAGTTGTTAATATTAAAATGAAAATAGGCAGTTCCTTATATATCAGGTTTTCATTTTATTGTTGAAATGGTGAAACAACGTAGCCAGGATGATGTAAATGAGATTATAAAGTACACTGCTCCCTTTGAAGTTTTACTTGACGTGTCCTTGGGAGACTGAACTTTCTCTAGGCTACTTAATATTGAGGAAAAAGCCCCAATCAGGTGAGCTGCAACCACGCGAATGTCTGCAACCACGCCTCCATTTTCAGATGTCTCCGTTTACCCCATCAGCACTAACACGGATGCCGCGGAATTTCAAATTGAAAATGGTTTCTTCAGCGTTTTCAAAAAGCTCAGTTTTCGGCACTTGAAAACTCTGGGGTAGTGTGGACAAAAGGGGTAACCATAGCAAAACTTAAGCATTTTAAAACGAAGATGTATTAGTGTAAAAGAGACCCAAGACAGTTTTGTGTTATCAGATGCAGTTCCAGCAAGTGGCACCACCTCACAGACACACAGCTCCTCTCCTCCCTCATCCACTGCTACTGATCTTCCAGCAGTAGGGGGAGACACAGAAGAGGAAGACGGCATGAAGCACCTTCAGCAGGTCAGTGTGTGTCACTTAGTTTTGTTGCTGTACTTTAAAAAGAAGCACAAACTAAACAAAAAAAAAACTTTGTGATTTTAAAGGAGGCTGAGAAGATGGTTGCGTCCCTGCAAGACACATCTCTTGAAGAGGAATGTTTCACTCACGCTCTTCAGGAGAGCCACATCTCCGCAGCACACACCCACACACACCCAAATACACACACACTCTCTCACTCCACTCCACACACTCTCCCTCACTCCGCCAGCGCCCTGCCACTGTCCCACGAATCTGCAATGAAGTGGTTCTACAAAGACCCTCAAGGAGAGATTCAAGGTATTGTACTACCATGTCGATTTTCATAACAGGAGTGTTTTTTAATGTATATGCTAGTCTAAATCGAGCTTGTGTCTCTCTTGCAGGTCCATTCACTACAGTGGAGATGTGTGAGTGGTTCCAGGCAGGGTATTTCGCCATGAACCTGCTGGTCAAGCGTGGCTGTGATGAGGGATTTCAGCCCCTGGGTGAAGTGATCAAGATGTGGGGGCGTGTGCCTTTCTCTCCTGGACCCTCCCCTCCTCCACTTCTGGTAAGAGACAAGGTGAAATATTCAGAAATTGGTTTCATCAAACTTTGTGCTGTCTATTAGCATTAAGCCACATATGCCGAGTTCAGACTGCTATTTTCAAAATAGCCATGTTACAGATGTTTTCTGGTAGTGTTTCGTCAGTGCTGAGTTTACACTGCAAGATGGATCAGCATCAGGGGGTTTCACACTGTATGAATTTAAAATAGGAATAATCGTTGACAACTTTGTCTTGGTCCACAAACTACATCTTGCAACCAAACACACGCAAGAAGTGACATGGAAACAACGTGAGGTCATGTAGCATATCTTTTGTTATTTACTACACAGTGAGAAAGAAGTCTTTAGTGCGGTAGAAAATGTACTTATTTTGTGCGTCAGATGACATGTCAAACAGATACGGTGCTCCTTCCAGATTTCTACTAGTTTTTCCTTCATTTCTTGGGTCCAAATAGACTGAAAATGAGCGCTTTTAACTTCTCCCAAACCTCCTGCAGATACCCATGTTAGTGGATACTGCTCTCTCATTGGCTGTAGGTAATCAGCAATGTTATTTTTAATCAGAACACTTTTCACACGGCATGATTTAAATCGCCAACAGCTCCAAATATTCAGCATGTCAAATATCTCACAGGCATCGGCGACTCGTTGGCGATTCTCTCAGATCACGTCTTGCATAGTTCACTGTGTGATTGTTACTTGCATGAAGGAGCACCGATTTGCCTGTGATTTCAGGCATTTGTCTGCAGTTTCTCAAAACCTGTCAACGAGTCAAAATCGGGGCTAAAATCATGCAGTCTGAACTCGGCATTAGGGTTAATTGTTTTGTTTAATGGTAAAAGCAGGTCTTAAAGGGATTCTTAAAAACTCACTTGTTTCAAACATGTCCGAGTTTCTTTCTTTTAAACACAAAATAAGATATTTTGAAAAATGCTGAAAATGAGTAACCATTGACTTTCTTAGTATGTTTTTTTTCCTACTTTGGAATTCAGTGGTTACAGGCTTCTAATTTTTTATTACATTTATTCTGCGTTCAACAGAAAAATACTAAATGGTGACTAAATAGTGAATACATTTTCTTTTTTTAGGTGAGCTGTCCCTTTAAGGTGCTTATTGTTTTATGAAAGTAGTTGCCGGAGCTATAACCTTTTGAGCAGGACTAAGACATTTATGCAGCATTAAACAGGGTGTTCGTTGGGTCTTAAAAGGTCTAAATGTCTTAAATTTCAGAATCAAAATGTTAGGCCTTCAAGTCTTAAATTTTCTCAAATATAGTTTTTTTTTTTTTAGGTCTTAATTTGTTTTGAAAAGGTCTTAATTGTCTTATGTGCATATAGATCTACCCAATCGGCCCAACACTCATCTAATCCCCAACATTCCATCACATAAAGTTTTAACAAGTTTACTCTGTTTACCAATATGGTTTAATTATCATCCTTACAGTAACATTTAGGTTTTGTTTATACATACCTGGTGAAGACACTGACCTTTAGCAGGTGTTTTGAAGTTTGTCACACTTTATTTTGATGGTCCGTTTGTTGAATTTAAGTTTCATTGTGTCTACATGTCAACTGATTCTCATTAGATTATAAGTAGGCTGTTAGGTTAGTGTAAGTTGACATGTTCTTACAAATGTTCTTATAGTCAATTAAAAGTATGTTAAAGGAGCAATATCAGCAGATATTAAGCAGATAGTCTACTAATACTCAAATGAACCATCAAAATAAAGTGTTACCAAAGTTAAATAAAGTTTTTAAAACTTTGTCTTTTTTTTTTTTAAAGAAAAGAAAAGTTGAAAGAAAGTGTATGTATACAACTAGAGTTTGCTTGTTTGTACACATCATTTAAAATATGTTGCTAAGAATAACTCAATTAGTTGTGTGCTTGTGTGCGTGTGACCGACTCAAATTCATTTTCCTTTCTTTGACTTTTCCACATTTTCATTTCTCTATTGTCCATCTACTCCTTAAGATTAATAAAAAAGGTTTAAATATTAAAGTTGTTATCATTGCTTCAGGGGAATATGGACCAGGAGCTGTTGAAGAAACAGTTAGAACAAGCTGCAACTGCAGCCCTTTACCAACAACTCCAGATGAGATTTCAGCACATGAACAGGTAATACTTGCAGTTTAATGCAAAAACTTTACACTTAAATCCTGTATTTTCTTAAAGCCAGTCATTGCCATTCAGAAAAAAACATTTGCAAGGAAAAACATATAACATATAAGTTGATCTTACTTCACAGCATATTTTTTGCATGTAATAAACAGGTAAAGAAATAAAGTATAGGATTAAACATAAATTATAGGGGTGTTTACAAAAAAAAAACAATAAAATTCAAGCCTTAACCAATTTGTTTAAAGACCATTTATAATATAAGCTAGCATGTGTAATATAAATGTGTTAAGCAACTGCTCAAGTGTGTCTCTCATTCAGCACAAATCTAAATATATTTGCATTCTTTAATTGCTTGAAGTTCATTAGATTATAATTGCTGGGAAATCCAAGTGCCAACAGTATTTTGGAAAATTTTAAAAACATTTTAGTATGAGGAACACTCGTTTACTTTTGCCTCCATATGTACTGCTTAGTAAAAGTTAGTAAAACAGTTGTAGCAGTTTACTTTGGGTTTGGATTCATGTAGAATAAAGCACAATATTCTAGTTAAGATTTGTGGAGGAAAGTGAGAATAGGACCAGATACGTGACTACTTTTCTAGAAAAGACAGTACATGTTCTGTATTATTGAATGATGTGTTTGTGTAGCAGGTGTAGCGAGACTGGCATGATGCCTGCGATGAACAGGTCCATGTCAGTGCCAGACACCGGGCCCATGTGGGACATGCCTACCTCAGTCTCTCAGCAGTCAGGTAATGCCAGCTGTACTGATAATGTGCAATGGGCTAATTTGTGAAGTACTGATGTTCATACCATTGCCTTCTTTCTTTTGTTCACATTTTTTAGGCGGTGAGACCAGTCTGTGGGACTTAACCATGAGTAACTCCACTCAGGGTCCAACTCTTGAACATTTGCAGAAAGTATGTCTTTTTTTATATTGAAATACCATCCAACATAATCTTATTCCATCATCCATCCATTGTTTTGTCATTTTATTTTATTTCTGAGTGTCAAACAATAACATTGGGTAGTTTTGCTACCATGTATAGGTGGGAATCTTTAGGGACTTTCCAATATTTAGGGGGTTCTACTTCTGAGAGTCAAGATTTAATGCCAAAATGATTCTTTACCCACAGGTTTCCTATTAATTCTACTGTACATTTACATCTTTACAACTTTACATTTAACAGTAATTGGAGTTTCTCTTTTGTTTAATGAATGGAATCTGTTGTTACAGTACTGTACACGTAAAAAATCATTTACTTTTGTTTTAAAGAATTATCCAGGACAAACAAGCTCTGAATGTAAAATAACACCAGATTACAAATAGCAACTATGAAAAAGAAAACAGATAATATTCTCAAAATAAGACCATTATGTTAAGTTTCATTATGAAAATGTTAAGGGGAAGTTATACATGCATATATATGTACAGTTGAAGTCAAAATTATTAGCCCTCATTATTCATATTTTTTTGTCTTTGCCATAATGACTAAATATTTTACTAGTTATTTTGGAAGATTTTAGTATTTGGCTTAACTTTTAAACAGAAAAACTGCAGTGTTTGCATCACTGTTCTGTAGTTCACTTACATTCAAAACTCATGTTTACAGAACATAACTTGTTGCAGAAATGATTAAGCAAGCCTCAACTCATCTGTAATGGAGTGTTCTGGAATGGTGACCTGCAATCCTGTTGTATCGCACAACGAACAAGTAGTGCAGCACTACTGAAAACTGAACAACAGACAAAAACTTTTTCTGTAATTCAACAGTGTATTTATCTGTCCAAATAAAGTGAATTTGGCAGCATTCATGCTAGAGGTGTAACGAGACATGATTGATCTGTGATTTATACAGATCACAACCCACGGTTCGGAACACGTGTAACGTGCTGATAAATAGATTTTTCTTTTACTTGTAGATTAATCCTAAATTTGTAACTATCTCAGAGAGATCTCCTCTCGCGTCATTCAAATCACATGTATGAAAGCATTAAGGCTTTCCTGTAAAATATTATGATGATAGAAGAAGTTGTGGTTGGATATTCGGGATGTAGTGGGTTTCTTAAAATGTGTTTAATTTTGTTTTAATTATTAATTTGTGGGTTATTAAAGTTGTTTTCTGACACTGCTTGTTTAATCTGCATTAATGCATTTAGTGAAAGCTGCATGATTAACCATTAAAAGAATTGGATCTCAACACCCATGCAACATAAATTATAAATGATAATGATTTGCAAATGTTTATTAATCCTTCGAATTGCTGCATTCAAATCTGTGTTTGGAAAAATGCAAAAAATCAAAAAAGAGAGTCTAGTCTTTTGAGTTAGTTATGAAGTTACAGTCAAATAACACAGAAGTACTGGCATTACGTTTTATTGTTTAGACAAAACTGCAGATGTTTATGGTAAAGATTAACATTACCATCATATGCATTTAACAATGCTCCAAAATGAAAGTTGCAGGCAGCAGTTATATTATTTAACCAATAGGTGGCGACAACCAGCCATCAAAATATGCTCCTGAATAATTCTTCAAAAATGACATCTGGCTTTTTGTTTTGTTAGTGAATTATTGAAAATGAGACTAAAAATAAATATGGCTTCTATAAATTGTATTGTTAGATTATACATTTTGCGTTATCAGAAGCAGTAGTAGTAGTAACTGAATATTTTACAGTACTAAACATTTTATAATTTATTTTTAATCTGCTGACTCATTCATTTTCTTGTTGGTTAGTCTCTTTATTAATCTGGTGTCACTACATCGTAATTAACTGCCAATTTATTCAGCATTGTTTTACGCAGCGGATGCCCTTCCAGCTGCAACCCACCTCTGGGAAATAATCAGCTGATTAGTTATTCATTTTATTTTTTTATATGTTTTTGTAATAAATTGAAAGCAAATCACATTTGTCATCTCCCTTTTTTGGCTGATCCGAAGAATGGCCAGATCCGTGACTAAAAAACGTAATGTGAACTGAACCGGGAGATTTGTGATCCATTACACCACTAATACAGACATGTGCCTATCGAGGCTCATTAGTTTTCTTTTTGGAGCTTGTACATGCAAAGGCCCGCACCGTCACAGTCAAATTTGAATACAGAATTGATTCTGAACTTTTGAAATTTGATTCAAGTTGTTAATTTAAGAATTGTGGTGCATCATATTTGCTATTATATATTTTTTCCCCCACCCCTACTACCTTGTATACAAAATGTATAATAATTGCATCATACAGTGCTGCATGCATAAAAACTTGAGTAAACAGGTCTATGAAGTTACTCCTAGGTGATTGCATTTCATGTCCAATGTGTAAACTTCACCCAAATCACTCTACCATTAATTGAGCGTGTCTCGCACATGTGTTAGATCCAGCAGGAGAGGCGTGAAGCTGAACTCAGGGTGAAGCGTGAAGAAGAGGAGAGAAAACGAAGGGAGGAAAAGCGCCGGCAGCAAGAGGAACAGAAAAGGAGAGAGGAGGAGGAGATTTATAGAAAAAAGCAGGTGAATGGCTTTTCACAGATTTGGGCCCTGACTGTTGCACTATGAAATGATTAAGATGCGTAACGCATTTGTATGTTTGTGTTTGACAGCAGTGCCGCCAGCAGCAGGAGTTGATCATGAAGTTTTTGCAGCAGAGCCAGCAGCAGAGCATGTCTGGGAGCTCAGGGTGGAGCGGAAGCCAGACAGGAGCTCTGTCTTTGGGCAAAGCTACAGGAAAGAGCATGGGACTCCTGGAGCTGGAGGCAGAGAGAATTCACAAACAGCAGCAGCAGAGAGCTCAGCAGCAGCAAAGGGTAATACATCTTGATGTCTGTGTAAAGCTACATTTAGCCAGATGGATAGCAAGTTGTTTTGGGTCTTATTAATAGTGCACAATATGTCGATGACTATATCACTGTAGTCAGTAATACGTTTTCATTAATTTTTTGACTATTGTTAGGCTGTTCTTAGTTCCATGTTATTGTTAATTGTTTGTATATTCATGCTCGTCGGGCATGGGACAATAACTGGTTTCAAGGTTTGCCGCGGTTTGGAAAAGTCAAGGTTTTAAAACTGCTAAAATATTCTCTGATGCAGTTTCTGAACTATTTGTAAAATGTTCTTTTTATTCTTTGTCCTTTTGTTCTTTGTATTTTTATATCCAGGATCTCCAGCAGAAAAAGATCATCCACATTAAAATATACTGTTTTGTCCACAATTCCGGAAACATCTGAAAAACAAATCACTTATGCACCAACATCCAAGCATGCCATAAACCTGAACAGTGCTGTGGTTTACTTTATATCTAAAAGAAAAGATATCCAAAGATACAATTTCAAGTTGTAAAGATATCTGTGTTTTTTAAACTAATGAAGATAGCAAAAAGCTCTTTCAGCAGAAGTCTGTCTTAAAATTAAATTTACTGGGTTCAATGGGAAAAAAGTTGTTGATTTCTACCCTGACATTTAAAAGGAACCTATTTTAGAGCAGTAATCACAATACTTGACGTAACAACCTTGATGAAGGTTTTCATACTGTCAGAATTTTATACTGACCCATGCCTAGTCACCAAGCTGTATCTGTCAACTAAGGCAACAATGACAGGAAAATGTCACTTTTAAGAGCTTCTTTTAAGGGCTCCTAAACCACAGGTGTCAAATCCAGTTCCTGGAGGGCTGCAGCTCTGCACAGCTTAGCTTTAACCTGAATTAAACAAATCTGATCAACCTAACTGATTCCTTTAGGCTTCTTTGAAACCTACTGGTAAGTGTGTTGAAATAGGGTTGGAACTAAACTGTGCAGAGCTGTGGCCATCCAGGAACTGGATTTGACACCTGTATCCTAAACCATGACCATGTTCTGCTGTTTCTTTTTATTTATTTTCAAATTCTGGGGTAAATTTACCTATATTGATCTCATAATGGCTAATAAAATCATAAAGGATCTTGGATCTCAGACCATTTTAATATTCTGCAAAGCTCTACATCACTTTGTTTAGTTTGTTCATTATTGACCATGGAAATTGAGCTTTTTAGTCAGAGAATTTGACATTTGGCTTGGAGTGGGAACCCTGAAATAAGTTATCACCCAATAAATTATGGATTATTCCTTCACTTTATGTTAAAGGGAAGATGTTGGCAGTATGTTTTTCACCATGATGAAATACAAAAAAAGTGGATGTCAGATTTCTACTTTATATATTATTTTGGAAGATTAAAGACTTTTTCTTGTCTTTTAGTGTAGTTGAAGCTTTAAAATAAAATCAGTTATTTGTGTTTTGTATTAAGCTTTACATTTGTTACATTCTATTACATTTGAAAATTTGACTTTTAAATGAAATTTGTATTGTAGCAGCTTGAATATCAGTTATCAGCTCTATATACAGTATAAAGGTATATTGGCTACCACTTTCTGTTCAAATATTCCTGTGTGTCGCTAGCTATTTCTAAAGCATGAACTGTGATTTTTGAGCAGTGTAGTTTAGCTTCCTTGTATTAATTACTTTAATTGTAGATTCTCCTGCCTTAATTGCCCATGTCTTTTTGGTTTAGCATGGAGGTTTGACAATGGGCCAATGGAATGATGGGCCATCAGGGATGTGGTCAGGATCTAGCATGGATGGGAAGGTCGGAGGGGGCAACCCTGCCATGGGCATGTGGGATGAGGCCATGAAAAACCAATCCAGCCATCGCAACATTGGCCTGAGGAACAGCCGCAGCAGTCCCTCTCTCAGGTACTCAAACTTGCACTCGCACAATCTTCTTTGCCCTTTAAACCAATGTACTTAAACACCGTTCACTCTAAATGCATCTGTGCTCTCAGTGATCAGTACATGCTGAATCGTCGTAAACGTACTGATGAAGAGGAGAGACTTCTCAAGCTT